ATCGGCGTCCGACAATTATAGCTTTTCTTGACTTTGAAGCAGCATTTGACTCTGTAGACCGAGAGGTTCCGTGGCAGTGTCTGTCATTGAAAGGTGTACCTCAGAAGTACATAAACCTTGTGAAGGCTCTTTACTCGGACACTACCAGAAAGTGAGAGCTTATGGAGAACTGTCATATGCTTTTACAACCTCAAGTGGTGTCCGACAAGGCTGTCCACTATTCCCATTTTTCTTTAACTTCATTATAGACCTATTGTTGGAAATAACACTCTCGTCGACTGAATTTTCAGGAATTGATCTCCTACCAGGAAGTCCACTTATCGACTTAGAATACGCAGACGATATAGTCCTGTTTGGTGAAGACGCTTACAAAATGCAGAATCTTCTGTTAGAACTGAGTAGTAATTCCAGGATGCTTGGGATGCGTTTCTCCCCATCTAAATGTAAATTGTTACTTCATGACTGACCTGCGTCAACACCTGAACTAAGGGGAGTGAAGTAGTCGAAAGCGTGGACAACTTCACTTATCTTGGAAGTCTGACCAGCCCTAATGGGTTGGTGTCTGACGAAATCTCTGCACGGATTCAGAAAGCTCGTTTGGCTTTTGCCAACTTACGTCACTTACGGCGAAAACGAGATATCCGTCTATCAATGAAGGGACGAGTATACTGCACAGCAGTTCGTTCCGTTTTACTTTACGGTTGTGAAACATGGCCATTAAGAGTAGAAGATACTGTCAAGTTACTAGTATTTGATCACATATGCCTTAGAAATATTGCTCGCATCTGCTGGGATCACCGGGTACATAATAGTGAGTTTAGACGTAGGGTATTAGGTAACGATGGTAAATCAGTGGATGAGGTCATGAATCTTCATCGACTGAGATGGTTGGGCCACGTGTTACGTATGCCTGAACACCGATTACCACGACGCGCTATGCTGACTAGTGTAGGGGATGGTTGGAAGAGAGTTAGGAGCGGCCAAACGAAAACATGACATCGGAGCTTGAAGTCACTAACCTCAGTCTAAGTCATGTTGGTAGATGCAAACTACTTGGTTGGGGTCCGCGCGACCATCATAACCAATGGTTGGAGACTCTAGGTGACATGGCTAAAAATCGATCACAATAGCGCAGGTGTATACACTTTTTATCTTCCCTTATACCTTGAGATTAAAATTGCTTCATATCTGTCTTCCTTCCTATACTATATCCTTATATACAACCTTTCTTTTAAATATTACTACCACTAAATTAACTACTTCTATGAATCCGGTGTTCATCTTGTTGTGCTAACGAGGTATGGCAACTTGGACCGATGCATAAATGTGCGTGGTCCTTACGTTGTAGCTGACTGTCTCTTGCACATATTTGAAACTGTGAGACAGGTTCTACTAAATGGTGTGACAATTAAGAATATGGGTAATTACTTTGTAATGACATGATTTTAAAAACAGTGAAATATCGAAAACTAACCCTTTCTCATTTCATCAGTTTATTTGTATAATGTATGCTGGACCTTCATACATGTATTCAAACTAAATGCCATTTATCCTTCATGTAGTTCAACAACCTAACTGTTATAACTTTGGAAAACTGTTACTCGGAACGAGAACTGCCATTTTGCAGGACGTAAAGGAGAAAAAATGACAACGGAAACAAACCTTACTTATCTGCCGAAAATAACATGACAGTCATTTTAGCTAAATACACTGGATAATATATAAATTTTACTGACGTTTAGTAATAATTTAACACATTATTGATGTGTGAGGGAGGACGATAATGATTGGTTGTTTGAGAGACCTGTAGATAGTTTGACAGGCGCTAGTTATATATTCTCTTATCCCTATTATTATTGATTGTTGTCGGTTTTTGGTGTGGAAATATATTTACATTCTAGTCAGGCTAATTACGTGTTCTTGATCTGAGTTGTGTTGAAGTTCTGTAGAGTAGACAATGGGACGGAGTCTGGTGTAGATATTCGTCTGCGGTAAATTAAAGTCCCATTCACGTAAAAAGGAAAACGGATCGTTATAACAGTAGTATAACGAAAATTAAATATTCACATTGAAATACATAGAATACAAAATGAACGAAAAAATATTATCACTAAATAGAAGAGCGAATAGGACAGTAAAAATGATGTCTATCTTAGAAATCAGTTTCCTAGGTCATTATTAGGTTTTTTTTAAGTTCGAGTAGATCCAAGGTGTTCACGACATATTTCGTAGGAACTGCTATCTTTCAATTTTCAGAACAGAGCCTATACCTGAAACAACAAGTAGACTACAACTAGTGTATAATAAACAGCTGTTTCGTAACTAGGTATATAAGGATTGTTCAAAAAAGAACATTTAATACAGGAAGGTTATTGCTCTTGTTTATCAACCAACTAATAATGAATTCACGAAATAAAGTCAAGCTTTCAAGTTCCACTGTTTCCATTTGCAATCATCAATTTATCTGATCTTGTTAAATCAATTCCACTGATAGTATGTCATCTGGTCCTTGACTCTTTTGATTAAGCAAATGATAGAGTGGAATAATTTATGGCCATAACATTGCATATCCGATGGATTACCAGACAGCTGTGAAAGTAGTTTTCAAAGTTATATACTGAATTTTAATCAGCTTGACCTGTTTTTTTTCTCTCAAGATTTTGCATTTTATAACCTTTACCTAAGCTATACATCTAAGCCATCTCTATCTGACCAACTGACCCCTTTCAAATAACACTCCCATTTTTAACTTCTTATACATTATGCGATCCATGTTAATAGCTAACTAGCTGCCTGATCTTCAGATTCGTTTAGTTTACTAATACTACTAACTTTTTATCCTAAATAAATGACCTTTCTATTCGATCATTTGCCGAGTTTTTATAGAATTGATCACAACCACTATTGCGCAATTCATTATCGATCAACTTTAACACCACTTTAATATGTAACATTATTCACCCAAATTTTAGGATTACAACCTTACCAACTCACTAATAATTTTATTTTAAAAAATACTAAATGAGGGAAACACTATGGATGTTATATTCGAACATCGAAACCTACGAATTCATCTAAGGGAGTTATGATTAGGAACTAATCGAAAAGAGGAATTTTTTTGTTGAATATGTAATTTAAATATCAGTAATTAGTCATCCAATTGTCTGTAGGGACATTGTAGAGGGTTAAACTATCTGCTTCTCGTTTTGATTCCAAAATTGTCTTAATTTGAGGCTTATATTATTTCTGACTACTGTCTATTCTTTTCGTGACTAGATGTGAGTGCATTGTGTGCACTTGCCGCGTCGTCGACTCACTTTTTTCTTCTTCTCTTTTACAGTTTTCACTCACTCTACTCTGTATGCTTCTCTAATGTACAAAGAACCTTCTGGCTAGACGCTACAAAATCCAGTGAATGTAAACAAATTCAAATGACCCAGTAAATTTATTGTTGAGAAATTTTTAGTTTCAAACATAAAACATCTAAATAAATATTTAAACGGAAAACTTTTGAGTTCTGGGGACCTAGCATCCCCAACAAGAACAAAAATGAACTGTCTAGTTTAGAGGACACAACAACATCAAAAGCATTGACCTGAGATTTAAATCTACATCAGCATCTTATATGGAATACATTACCATAGAGAACCGGAAGAAATGATGTCGTTAGGATATTTTTAAGCTGACTTTGAAACATGTGGTATGAATTAAAGACTGGTAAACTATCTCAAATGTCTAAATTCACTTGGTATTGTTTGCTTGTATCTACCCATTGTTGTTTAGGACTGCAATTGATCAGTCTCTTGTTGGTATATATGCATCCTGTGCGGATTGCCTCAATATTGCTTTAAGTCATAAGCTTTATAAGCAAAGGTGGATGGTGGCTAGCAGTGGAATTCAGGACGCGCGTTTCGTCTTATTTGGGACTCGCCAGATGGATGTACCTGAATCTCAGAGTTGATGTTCACTCTGGAACTCGAACCCAGTACCGTTGGCTTCAAACGCCATCCACTTAGCTACCAACAAATAACAAACTCAATCCTTTCAACTTGTATGACTATTGATAATCTAAGCAAAATCTTTTACTGAGCATGACTTCTTGGAGCAAATAAACTATGATTGTCATATTATTCTTAAGTCATTGAATTAAATATTAGGAATGCACTGATAAGCATTGGTTAGGCTTATACGAAGTTAGGCGGGAGTACACTTAACTTTGATGAAGCTTTCATTCCTCTGAATGAGAATTTCTTATAGATTCTTGGTCCCAGTCAAACCATCTCAAAGACAACATATGCGGAAAAAAATGTGATTCTTATTTCATATACATAAATATAATTAACAATTAATTAACTTATTTACAAATAGGTTCAATAATCGAAAAACTAAATAAAATCAGAACAGTTACGCTCGGTATCAGATAGTAGTCGTATATCTATATATAAAACTACTTGACAGATTAACTAGTTTTTATAAAAAGATCTCGATAAGATCTTAAGAGATAATGAATGACATTCAGAACGTTTTTATGTATTTCATTTTAAGATCTATTACTCGGGAAGTGTGCTGTTTTACTCCTAGTAGTCATATTGTATATTTGCATTTATTAAGATATTGATACTGAACAAGATGTTTAAAAAATATTTAGGTATATGAAACAGTTATTTACAAAGTCACGGATAACTGACCTTTTTACAACTCATTTACATAGTACAAGGACCCGGAAAGTTCAGCCGCCAACTTTGGTTTAATTTGTAAATTCTTCTACTTTAAAAGATTATAAGTTGTGATGGTACATTTTCCCAGTAGCTTATCTTCAACAATAACTGTATAAAATAACGGTTTGTTCTTTCGAGACCACCCATAAAACTAGGACAAAATTGTAACTAAAAAACTACTATTTATTGAATCGTCATCTGGTATGGGGAGTATATGAAATAGCTGAAGACTTCATACCAGTAAATGAAATTTTATATGTATACACAAAAAAAATCATTATTGGTTAAGTATAAATTATTTTGATCAATAAATATATTTAGTCTATCAGAAATTTTATCGAAAGTAGTATTAGTAACGATAAGTGGGAGCATTTGAGTAAATATCAAGAATGAACATTTTCTTGTTTCATATATCAGATAATAGTAAAAGTATGCACAATTAGAATACAAATGATTAAGACAGGTGAAATCCAACAACAACAAAAGGCGAATAAAAATGACAAAGTTTCCTGTAAAACTGTCTACCATTTTATCTTGACTGATAATTGGATAGATCCAGGAAGGATGATTGAAAAAAAGAAGAGAAACGTCATAAGTATTGTTCTAATAGTATAAAAGAAGAAAAACAAATGGTAAATTAAACAATAGAGTGTACACAAAATGTTGAACATTTTAAGCGGTCCCATAAGAAGAATTGTGAAACAGATTTGCCAAAGCCATGACTAGAAATCATTTCATATATCTCAGATGAATTTAAATTTACAGGGTGGAATGTGTAGACTTTTTTTAAATGCATCGGCACATGTAATAACTTCTTAAGTATTATTCCAAGGTAGACATCATCAAACCGAAGATATTTTGTGTAACGCATAGCTATATTTAATTGACGTGCCAAATTCATTGATAAAAAAAAATTACCCCCTGCCACATATGGAGGATAATAACGCGGAGCATATTCTTTGTCATCAACCAACCACTTATCGTGACTGCCGATATTCTTACGAACTGGTCCAGCATTATACCAAACATAACCACTGATCAAAAGTTTACGTAGCTCGGTGCTTAAACCTTCAATATAAGCAACCACATTTTTTGGATAGATAAAATAATCATCATCAACAAACATAATAATTGGGACATTTGAACAATATTTTACTGCCCAATTAATACCAAACATAATTTTATATGTACTATTATAATAGTGATCAAGAAAATCTTGTTGAATTATATCATGATATACATAGGACTCATTTTTTAATATGTATTTTAAACGTTCATTATTAGATGGGACATTACCAAGAAGGAAAAGATGTATGACACGACGTCCACCCCAGCAAAGATCATTACCCCATGTTAAGCGTATTGCATTTCTGCGTAAAAAATTTGATGGAGCAGATTTGATGAGAATTATTAGTTCTGGAGCTTCTCCTGTTGTTAAGAGAATGTTGTTACACTTCTGATGTTCGCTCATAAGTATTGGAAATTTTGGATCATTTATTGGACTAGATGTTACAGTCAAGTTTGAAAGAACCTGTCCAACTAGTTTTGGCATATCTACCACCATTGGATACTCCAAATCATCAGAACCAGAAGAAAATGCAGGAATTATGAATATTCGATGTATGTTATTAGATGTTGACAAATTGTATTGTTCTTTTGGAAAAGTAGGATCGAAACTCCAGTCACGAGTTAATGTGATATTTCCAGGGATCGTGTTTACATAAGCTATATCAATTGATTTAGGAACACGCTTGGCTATAGATGAGTAATTATATATGATGATTACTGGCTGAAGTATTAACGTGGCAGTGAACAGCGTAGCAGCAACTGTTACTACACTTAATCTGCAAGTTAGAATCCTATTATGACTCATTATGATCCTATACATAAAAAATATCAGGAGTTTGGTAAATTAACAACTTGAAGTAGATGGGAATAGATTATTAGCAGTTTGAAAGACAGGAAACTTGTTACCAGGTATAGACCTTAATCCCTTCAGTCCATGGCTGTGAAATGTACGCGTAGTGTGAATAATGAAGTAGTAGCTTAATGGTTAGAGCACCTGGCTTTCAACCATTTGTCTACAGTTTATAATTCAATATACCGAATTCCTTTTGGATATCTAAGTAATATTGTTACTCCTCACATTCAGATATAGTCAAGTACATAAACTAGCACTTGATAAGTCACAATGTTATGCTGTAAATAAAACTGACTATTGATATGAAACGGAGAAGAGCAAGATCATTGATTAATTCGATATGATAATCGTTTGGTTTAACATTCGTTAATTTCAGTGTGCTATTCTACTGTATTCTGAAAATTCCTGTTATACATTCGCTCGGTTTTGAAAGTTATTCGACATGAACTTAAATTCATTTTTAAGCAACAAATATTTAAATAGTAGAAAGCATGAGTCAATTGAAGCTAGACCACCATGGAAAACCTGGAAACACTGGACGGCCGTTTCGTCCTATTATGGGACTCCTCGGCAGTGCGCATCCACGAACCCGCTCTCGCGAGATTCGAACCCAGGATCTACCAGTATCGAGCCGAAGCCCTTAACCGAGACTTGTAGGTCCTGGGTTCGAATCTCGCGAGAGCGGGTTCGTGGATACGCACTGCTGAGGAGTCCCATAATAGGACGAAACGGCCGTCCAGTGTTTCCAGGTTTTCCATGGTGGCCTAGCTTCAATTGACTTATGCTTTCTACTATGAAACATACTAAATCTCCACAAAACCCCTTCTGATAATTAAATATTTAAATGTAATTAATAACTACCGAGAAAATTTGTATATAAAGAGTGGCTGTTTTTTCACAAAATATATTCTTCGCAGTTGTAGGATAGGGCTGACTTCCTTTCGCCCTTCCAATAGCTATCGCCTAGATTATAGACATCAGGGGCAGTATAAGTGAAAATTCCTGTGTTTGCTGATTAAGTCGAATCTTGTGTTACTATTGCGTAGCAGCAAGCACAATATAGCTAATGTCCTACTACAAATGAGTCAATTTAGGAGTTATGAATTCTCCAGCATGAATCTCCGGAGTAATAGGAATTAAGGGGCAAAGGCACACAAAAAACAGAGAAGGGTTGTCCTTTAGACCTTTATGATCTTATTTTTCTCTATTTGACTGCCTTTTTTTAAAAAAATTATATACTTACGTCGCAAACTAATCTTTATTGGATTTCCGCGACCTACACCACTACATTTAGTGAGCTTTCAGAAGGACAAGATTTAGTTAAGAGTTATGACGGGTGTTTTCTGCAGTATTATATATTGAATAAATTAGTGACTCACTAAACAATGATTTGTAATCCCAACCTCTATTAACTTAAAGTAAACTTAATCTTATTGCCCTGGTACGGTCGAGAGTGGGGAGAGTCCACTCTTCCTCTCCAAATGCTCTCATATGGCCACGCGAATATATAGCCTCTGTCAGGGAAGTCCTACTCACTGCCTTCTCGTAGCGGGGGTGTTGTTTACGAAATTGAGAGGACGAAAAGCGAATATCCGGAGCTTTAACTGGGTTGGTGGATATGGAGGATCCACCTAGGGGAGTTGGAAAACCCTGATTCCAAAACAATGGTGCATATGGGCTCCAGTATCCTGAAGGAACAAATGGCGTATGAACCAATTGTTGGTCACCGGCTACCATGGGATTGCATCTCCTTACGATGCTCCACTGCCCTGTGGACTAGACCTTTAGGTCAAAGGCTCCGGGTGTGGTCCCCTAAGAAAACCACCTGCTTCAGTTTGGGCACCTGAGCAGTATCACAGCCCTCACACAAATCAAATGACATTTGTGAGGCGCGTATATATCTGGTGCTTCCTTGTACCAATATTTATGTGTTGAAATAAATTAATAAATACCAGTGGTCTAGTAGTTGAAACATATATTCCTCAACGAAAATGTTGCAGGTTCAAACCCCTTTCTATCTGATTTGATCTAGAAAACAGGGTGATATCAGTATCATACACGGAAAATGCACAGATTAAACTACAGAACATTTGCCATAGCCACTAATATTCGAGAAGATAAATAAACAACAAAAAGTTAATTCTGTGTTACTATAAGCAATGATGCAATCGAAAATACATGACTATTTATAGAACAATATGGAATGACTTTCAAAATTAAGAACTAATTGTGTGACCGTAATGGATAACAATTTAGTAGCTATTAACGTTCTCAATTTCGAAATAATGCTCTAATCTTTTTGGTTTTGGCATATTCTGGTTGAGTGTTTGACGAAAAAACACTTCTCAGCAAATACTATTGTTAGCAGAATTTTTAAGTAGGTATATGAAAGTGAGAAACGGAGAAAATGAGTTTATGCTCTATGGTTTTTTAATACAACAGCTCGTCAGATCAGAAGGAATGATGTGCAATAGCTGGACAGGATGAACGTTAACCCTCTATAAATCAGGAAAGTATGAGTACTAATAAGTTTTGAAGCACAATTAATAAAGTTTTAACCAAATAGGCTTTTTCCTACAATAACTGAAGAGTGTCAAAAGCCGCTGTTTTGATCCAATATATTGAGTTGGTAGGGTTGTTTTGGCTGGCAAAGTGTCTCACCAGTGATTTTGACATTCTAATATTTTTTAAATTGGGAATATTATTGGTGATAGTGGAAAACTACACACAAAATATGGGCTTGAACATACAGACAAAGTCTAGCAATAGAAAATATTGAATGATATCACGTAGAAATAGGAAATGAATGGGTTTTTGACACAGGAACTAATTTTGAGCCGTTTCATATCGTCTCCGATCTACCGATTTGGCGTTTTCAACAAGTATACTACGTCTACCGTGGGCATTACTCATGTAACGAAATCACATAAGAGCTTGTAGTCAGTTTTGATACGGAGTATTCTGAATATTAATCTTTTAATATATAGATGTAGATTTTACCATGGAGTTTGAGTAACTAATGTCTTCATGCCATCTTTTTAGTAGAAAAAGCTAAGGATAGCCTTGGAACTGAGAGATATAATCAAAACTTAATGGTAAAGAGATTTACATAGAGCGTATAGCACTTTATTGATGGGTAGGACAAAAACCATGGAGTCCATGTTTAGATTAGAGGCACTCACTTGTCAGGAAATAGCACATGCCATATAAACTTTTTAAGGAGCAATAGTCTTCAACGAAATCTCCCTACACATTATACAGAACACCTTACTTGGTGCTTAACATAGTTTTACTTTGGTATTCGCTAAAATATACTTACATGACGGTCAAGTATGGCTTACGCAACTGACCAATGAGAAGCGACCCCGCTTTTATTCCTACTCATATATGTACAAATACATACAAACATTCCGTATTATTAATGAGCGGAGAAATAAAGGAGCCCTTAGTTACATACATAATCCAACGTAGACCAGTATTACGATGTCTCCTACGGATATCGTAAACAAGTTAGCTTAGTCATGAGAGGTAGTGATCACCAAGCGCAGATGGCCACAAAAGCAATGTTCTGGATCTGAGTGGTGTAGGACGAGTTACGACTATAAAGGATACAAATATGGTTATGGACTGAAATACACTACGATATAAGAATCTAGCGGATTAGGTAGATATAAAACGTTTATTTCTGAGGCTTTCTCAGACAAAAAAGGTCCGATGAGTTACACTTCCGAACATTTGGTCAATAATACACGAACATCGTCAATTTGGTTCATTAACGCGAGATTATGATAAATACGCTTATGACTTGAGTGTGTAGATTAATGTTTACATTAAGATTGGAGGTGAAAGAAGCTAGCAGTGAATGAAACTCCACTGACCTTTACAATTCCACACAGAACAACAATGATCTATGTTATCAGCACGGCTACTCATTGTTGTTTATTGTTAACGGCTGGAAATAAACTCAACTTTGGTTCGTAATTTCGGCAGCCAACTCAGTGACCAATCAGGATGAAGCAAGAATCACTACTTCCGCCATCTTTATGAGCAACGGCGGTTCGCCTGCCTCGTTCTATCGTAACATTGGCAACATAGTAAGATAGAGACGACCTTTGGTTTGAAATTATTGATTAACTGATTGGTTGGATCAATACACTTATTTGGGCAGTTACAGTTAGTTAAAAGCTAATTGAGCTGAGAATATACACGTATCTCATCGGGAGATTTACTCCAACGGTAGTTCCAGACAACTGATTGAGTTGCTCACTACACTATGATTTTTTCGCTGGGATTTTGGTTTCAATGCAAAACTTAACCTTATAGTGTGCCGAAATTCCATATCTTATGTGATCCTATAAATGTTGACGCCAATGTTTTCGAAGCAGCGGGGCTTGTCTCACTAACATCTCCGTAATCATTTTTGCTAATATATTTACGTAATCACGCCCTTTGCGTCATACAGTCTTCGAAGCAGCCATAGTACTTTGGTATTTGGAAAGTGCAATCGATGTTAGATACTGGCCGCGAGGTGTGACTCCGAAGTCATACCATTCACGTTTAACTTGACTAGGCCCCCAATCATTTGACAGAAATCATCTGCACTGGTGATCTACATCCTTAGTGTTGTTTATGGTTTTGCCGGGAGTCACGAAAGCAAACTATCTCTTGTCCTTTATTTCTTGAATATTATAATGTCCTACTATCGTTAACGATTCGAACTAATACTGAAGATTCAGCTGATGTGCATACCGGCAATATATTCGAAAGGATGATTAGATCTAGGCACCTGAGAGCCTGGAACCAATTCAGAGTTGCGAGTGATCTATTGCAGGCATTATCAGATCATCTGGACGTATTGTGTTGCGTTTGGAAGCACGTTGAATGGTGGAAAGCCGGAGATCCGCTCTCAGTATGCTGTGTATGTCTGTTGTTTTGTGAATAAAATAAGGCTGAATTATACGACAACCAAGTATACTAGAGTGCATAGATATTGTAATACGTGTTTCATTCGAAAAGTCAAGTTACTTAAATTATCTTGCAATAGCGTCGAGTCGAGGATCGACTATGATCACCACTGCAATTCGATTACGTGCCCAGAAACGACTTCGTCCCTTTGATACCCTGCAAACCAGAAGTCTTTAATTAATCCAGATAAAGTATATTTATTGGCGATCTCGTGGTATTGAAAGAATACCGAGACGTGCCAACGAGTACAGGCAAATAGGCAGAGCGCAAGAAAGTTCGAACCAAATTTTTCGTGGATACCAGAGACTAGTGTAAGTCTATCAGGATGCTATCTGATGAGTCATTTTCACAATTCTGTACTTTGGCAGTAGTCTTTCGACCATCAACACCTTCTGGATCTTAATATGCTTCAGTAAATCTAACGAATACAATTCTATATTGACCTCTTTGCACACCAACGACGATTTATTATTAAAAGTCATCGAAGACATTATTTTAGGCTTTCTATTGAGACCTATTGGCTAGATCATCTATAATGAGAGAA